CTCACCGTTTTCCTTCTGGTTGCCTAATCCAAAACATGCCTAATGGTCAACATTTTGAGTGTAATTTTATTGAAAAACAGCTTAAGTAATTTTTGCATAAAGCCTTTGGTGTCCACTAAAAAGTGTATTGATTCATTAATGTTGGGTCAAAAAGGAAACAAAAAGTGAAAGAATACAAAGTTTGATTTGTTTTGCACAAATAATATGTACTTGTACTTGTACTTGTACTTGTAATGTATGTGTTTGGACTTAGAAGTTGAATTCATTTGGAATAGATAGATACAAAGAATAAAGAGAGAATGTGATACGTGAAACATAAACATAAATTAAAATTCTGAAATGCTATAAAAGATCACCCATCACTTATACACATATATTGTAGTTTCATCTTTCTCATCACTCAAAAGCCAGAGTTGTTCACATCTATAATAATCTAAGAGGGTGGTGGGGAAATAGAGTTCGGTCAAATATAAAATGTTAGATTACTACTACCAATATTTGTCGGGAGGGTTAATTACATATATTGACAGATATTAATTCATAACCCTTAAGGTAAGTAGATATCATCAGTTATAATAGAATTATTGAGTTACAGGTCCGTGTATATATATTTGTATGTATGTTACATTATATTATTATATATATATAAGTCTTGGTATGAGTGTTTTAGTTTGAGTTTCAAACTCACTCTCTCAAATCAATCATATTGTTTTCTTTAGTTTAATATAAATTTCAAATTTGCAAGTTTGTGTACAAAGATAATAACATGTGTAATTATGATATTGATATACCCACCCATCAAAACACACCACGCATTTAATTTATTCCAATTTGTAATATTGCTCTTGTTTGTGACGTGCAATTGTTTGATTCAAACTAATAATTGATCACTCACACACAAATGGAGCATGCAAGTACCAGTAGAGGACGTGGAGGTCGATCCAACAGTCCAACAAACCATCACAACCATGACCACCATCACGACCACTATCATATAGTTGTAACTATTAAAATTTCATCTCAAAATCAATTAAAAATATGAAGAATAGCCAACAAATATTTAAACCATTTCTGAGACAATGAGATAGGAAATGTAAAACTTACTTTCAAACAATAATCATAGTCTTATCTAGTGACAGAAACATAGACTTCAATTGTAAGTATGATTTCTTTTAGAGTTAATTACACTGACACCCCCTGAGTTTCAGTGAAATTACACAAATCACTCCTCCCTTTTTTTGTCCTTACACGAATCACCCCTAATTTTATATATATATTACACTAACTACCCCTGATGAGATATAAGTGTAATATTTAAACAAAAATAATGTGAAGTGTGTAATTAAGTTAAACAAAATATTGTATATTGTATAGACAAATCCAAATAATATAAGAGTCAATGCATTTTCGTTATTTAGTTCATTACAAAATATTATAAGGATTATATAAACATGTCATTAGAATTGTTAATATATCGTGTAGTGAAACATAAATAATAAAAAGATACTCAGTTTTGTACTATTTGAAATTGTGTATACAATATATAATATTTTGTTTAACTTAATTACACTCACCACACGTTTTTTGTTTAAAATATTACACTTATATCTTATCAGAGGTGGTCAGAGTAATATATGTATAAAATTAGGGGTGATTTATGTAAGAGGGATGGATGGTTCGTGTAAGGGCAAAAAAGGATGGATGATTTGTGTAATTTCACTAAAACTCAGGGGTGTTAGTGTAATTAACTTTTCTTTTATGATATCTATATCTATTTAATAAAAAAATGTTCCTACAATTTCAACTCATACACGTGTCAAGAGCTGGAGAAACGTTTTCCCGCCCAAAACTTGCATTCACTTCCCAATAAAACGTGTCATAATGTCATTCTACATTTGTTTTATTATTACCTTTTTTTTTGCTAAAAAAACGGTGATAAATTGATTAAATTCTAACATTCTCATTTATCATTTTTATTTTCCCTCCTCAAGCATAGTGAAATGTTAACTATTTCATTAACCAATTAAACAAAGTTTACTTTTTTTATATAAAAAGCATAGAAAGTAAAAACATTTTGTTTCCCAGCATGGTGTTGTTAAAAGATAAAAAAATATATGCACTAACATTGTATGGGTTTTATACGATATCAACACATTCATTTATTTTTAATTATTATTGGTTATTCAAAAAATGTAACTGAATAATGAGTAATATACTAAATGTGTACAAATCTGTAAAATAATCCTACATAAATATTATACTCTTTCTTAAATTACATTTACTAATAATCAATGACGTAAAATTTATATAATCAAAGTTCAATTCGAGTTTCAATCATTCAATGTGTTTAACAAAGAGTATCTTTAAATTCTCATTCACATTATCCTGAAAATGAATAACTCTCTTTAACAAAAATTACAAAGTCAGAATATCAAAAAACTTAGAATGAGAAATGAAGACAAATAAAGTATGATACATTTTAATTGAAATATAATTAAATTGGAATATTCATGAATAGTTCAATTAGAATGAATATAATTATTATACTTAATGATCATTCATGATTTCATAAAAAACTCATTATACACATTTATTTTTATATTATTTTTCCCACCAAAAATCTTTCTTTATTTTCTTAAATCAATTCTTATATTTATTCATTCTTATAATATTGTGCACATTCTATTGATATCTCATAATCTCATTAACAATTCTATTATCTTATTATGCACATTCCTTATATATTCCTCCATAAATCAATTCTTATTTTTCTTCATTTTCCCAAAATCAATTCTTATAAGTGAGGTTTTAAATTCTATTCCTCCCTAAATCAATTCTTATCTTTCTTCATTTTCTCAAAATCAATTCTTGTAAGTGAGGCTTTAAATTCTTATAATATTATGAAAGCAATCTTATTAATGTCTCATATTATGATTAACAATTATATTATCTTATTATTATGCACATTTTTTTTATATATTCATTTATATTAATTTATATTAAGGTTCTATATAATTGAATCGGTCAAATAAAATTAATTCGATAGCGATGTGAATAAATAGACAAGGGTGTACAAAGTTCTTTCTAGGCCATGAGGGTAAAAAAAACAGAAATCTCTATCTACATCCCATATTGGATAACTTTGTCAATATGAAATTTGAATTAGAAAACAGATTAGAAAAACGTAGAAAAAACAAAACTCACATTTTAAACAATTCACAAGCACTACAATAGTACAATTAGTTAAAAAAAATGACTTAATTTCAAATTTCTAATTGAGTCCAACAATTAATTTCTTAAATCAATTCTTATAACTCAAGAATTGAATTTTCATTTATTATTTTTAATATTAATAACTCTCATTTTAATTTGCTCACCAAACACATTAAATTTTTTACACTTAATATTTTAACTCTCATCATTTCATTTTACTATTATCCCCTTCATTTTCAATTTCATAGCTCTTCATCTCCTACTTTTTTGGTTACATAAAACCAATATTTTTTTCTCTTGCATTGTCAACAACTTGCTTTAGTTTTACAAATATTAATCCATATATGGCACGTAGAGTAAACTTCATTGAAGAGATTAATGCGACCAAAGATACTTGGAAGATTAAAGTTAGGATTATTGGTCTTTGGCTTGTGGAAAGATCATCGGCGCCATCATTGGAAATGATATTCATGGACGAAAATGTAATTTTTTGACTATATGTTTTTAAACTATTAAACCATTTATATGTAATTACATCATTTCTTCTCTGTATTATTTTTGCTTCCGTAAATTATGGTGACAAGATAGAAGCTATGGTCAAGAATTACCATATTTCTCTATGGGAGCCTCAACTCCAGGAGGGCCAGAGTTATGTTTGTGAGAATTTTGACGTGGTTAGTAACGAATGACAATATAGAGGTTGTAAATACTCTTTCAAGTTAATATTTCAGAAGGGGACCATAATGACTAACAAACAATTGTTAGAGATTCCTCCTTATATTTATCAATTCACTACATTTGAGGACATCCTCAGTGGAGTTGCTACCACAAATGTTTTAATTGGTAATTTACATGTTTCATTCAATTTAGTATATATATATATATATATATATATATGCACTTACGTGTCTTTGTCAATAGTAGTTCATTCTAATTGATTTGTTTACATAATTTGCAGATGTCATTGGAGAGTTCATTAACATAGAGATGAGCTAGCCTGAATCAATGTCGAAGAAGGTCGTCTTCGGCATGCGAGACCAAAGGTCATCTTTATCAGCCAAAACTCATGGTTAGGCAATACATTTTGTGAAAATAATTATATACTAATTTATTTAACTTATTTAATCATTGCAGAGGGAATAACATTAGTTGTACACTGTGGGGTCAATTTGCATCGCAACTCCTGAAATATGAACCCGATCACAAGTTTGGTCCAATAGTTGTCATACTCACCCTTCCAAAGATTCGAGAAGCGAAAGGTAATATTATTTTTTCTTCTTTGTCTTAATTTCTTATTGTCTATACTATTCTAATATAAATCTGACTTACAGAGGAGGTTATCCTATAACCATTTAAAATACAATGTATGGTTCAAAGCTTTTTATAAATGACAACAACATTCAGGAAATTCAAGTTTTCACTAAAAGGTAATATTTCAATTTTTGTTGAATTCTCTTTACTACTTTACATATTGAACTTATTTAATGTCTATTTTGTTGCGACTTTCTAGAATTTCAGCTTGGGCTCTGGAAAACCATATGAGTCATACAATCAACGCATGAGTAATACATCTTCATCCTCTCTAGGGGGTCTCAAGACAAGTTCTTCCAAAATGCAGTTATCAAAACAATATCTGAATTGATCCAACTTGATCACGTAAAAAACTTCTAATCTTATTACCCATTGTTTGCAATGATAGTAACAATCATTTCACAATTTTGTTACTTTTTGTCCCATTAAGGAATCTGTTTGTGTCACTTATGCCACAATTGAGAAGTTGTTTGCTAATGGATGGTACTATGATGGGTGCCCCCAATGCAATAGAAAAGCTGATGCAATTAGGATTCCATTTAATTGTCCTGGTTGTGGAAAGTTTTTGAAGGAAGTTGTGCTGAGGTAAATTTGCAAAATGAATTTTAGATGTAGGTGACGAAAAATTGTCAGAGCCAAATAATGGTTTTGCACTGATTGAGATACCAGAACAATGTCTAATAACTAATTACGATAATCTCATTCATGCTATAGTTAAAAGTATTTATCCAAATTTAGTTGATGAATACATGAATGAAGAATTTCTACAATGTAGAGCTATTTTGGCTTCAACTATTGAAACAGTTGATGAAATAAATGATTATGTGTTATCATTAATCCCATGTAGACATTCAATCATATTTTTTAACATATTCATAAATGTTATTATGTCAACATTATAACATTTTGTTTCAAATGAAGGTGATGAAAGGGAATATCCAAGCTCATCAGAATCTAACGGCATTGAAGCTCTACAAGGACTTACTACTGAGTTTCTAAACTCCCTCAGAACTTCAGGCTTGCCTAACCACAAAATCAAATTGAAAGTAGGAACACCAATTATGCTATTGAGGAATTTAGATAAGACTGAAGGCTTGTGCAATGGAACAAGAATGATTGTAAATAGACTAGCAAACCATGTCATCGAAGCGAAGGTAATGATAGAAAAAAATGTTGGGAAAATATTCTACATTCCACGAACGAGTTTGTCTCCATCTCATTCAACGTGGCCTTTCAAATTAACAAGGAGACAATTTCCGTTGACGGTTTCATATGTTATGACAATTAACAAGTCATAAGGGCAATCACTAGCAAGTGTTGAGTTGTATCTACCTCGACCAATTTTCGGTCATGAACAACTATATGTTGCTTTTTCAAGAGTTCAATCAATGGAAGGACTTAAAATACTGATACATGACAAGGAATGAAAAACAATGAACACTACAATAAATGTGGTGTTCAAAGAAGTTTTCCAAAACCTATAAACATGTAACACCAGCTACTAAATTCGAATTATGGTATATTTTCAGGGATTCATCATGTTTTCCGTTTATGATATTTAGTAATACTATATTTAGCATGTAATAATCATCATTATATACATGATCATATGTTACATTTAAATAATGACCAATTTATTAATATTTTTCTTCTTATTTCTAAACACACACACATATATATCTTTACATAATCCTAAAATTAACATAAAAAAATAAAGATTCTAAATATGCTTAAAAATAAACTTTCCCGTGTGAAGCCACAGATATTTTACTAGTTATATATATAGTATAGTTGCACGTGTGCATCACATATGTAATAGAAGAAATGTTGACTTTATCATATATGGACAACGATCTGCTTTCCTCAACCATGTTCTTAAGCCCATACAACACTAATCAAAAAATGACATGTTAATTAAAAAATTAAACATTTATGATTTTTTCTATTTTTATTCTATTTTGATTGAACGATGAGAAAAAATATATTAAAATAAGTAGAGAAATAGGCATGGAACCTCAACAAGTAAAGTTTTGGTTTCAGAACAAAAGAGCTCGGGTGAAGATATATAATATATTTTTGTTATTCATGTTTTTTTACTTTGTTTTTCTTTAGCTAATAATTGGATTCCTCTTTAGTACTGGACTCTCCAATACTGAATATGTGAGAGGAGATGTTTTTTTTATAAAAATAATAATTTAAAATATGTTAAAATTTGGGTCATTGAAATTTTATTTATGACACATGTTTTAATCTTAGGTATGCATTGTACTCTCCTGTAATGGAGAGGAGCCAAACTCCCATATTATACACTTTGTTTTATATTTTTAATACCTTTCATGCATTTCAATAACATATTGGTTTATTTTTCATTAACCAAAGTATATGATTGAGAAAGTTACGTATTAAGGGTCCTCGTACCATTTAGAAATTACCCATACATTCCTTCTGATATTTTGATGCAATCTGTTTGACTCATATACATATCAGAAAACATGAACTCGTGTTCCAAAGATCACATTTCATAAAATAATATAATTTTTTTTTATATTTTTATAATTTTTTTAATTAGGTGATATTTTTCGGACAAGGATCATCTGTTTCAGAATTTTCCTGTCTCCCTGTCCCTAACCAATCAAACTTCACAAAATAATATTAAAATATTAATTTCTGATTTTCTATTTTACTTTTTAATTGAATGGAGCCTTCTGATTGGTTTGGTATACAAAGTGGGACATGAATGGGGACATGTGATCTCCATCCAATACAATATTTTTCTATTTTTATGAATATTTTTTCTTTCTAATACAAATGAATGACATATTAAATGTATATAAATTGATGTATTTTAAATTCAAGTAATGTTGCAGCTTGATAGAATGTGTAACATTGTATCTAAGTACACTGGACAACAAATTTCTTCACTTTCTTCAATTCCAGCAATTAATATATCCCCTATGAACGTGTCTATGAGGACTAGTACTATAGGAAAGCAACAAGGATTCTTTGACGGCGGTGGAAACGGCGGTGCCGGTGGCAGCAACTCTTCTCTTGATACCAATATTAATCTTCGCCAAGAGGCTTCTTCTTCTTCTTGTAATGCTACCCCAAATTTGCCTCCACCTGGTTCCTTATCAGGAATAATTGATGAGCCTCTCATGTCAACAATTGGTACTATTGCCTTTGAAGAATTTATGAGACTCTTGCACACAAATGAACCCTTGTGGTTAAAGTCACCCACTCATGGCAGAGATGTTCTTAATTTTGAGACATATGAAAGAATGTTCCCCAAGGAAAATACTCGCCTCACCAATCCTAATGTTCGTGTTGAAGCATCGAGAGACTCAGCTTTTGTTATGATGAAAAGTTCTAGTTTGGCAGAAAAGTTCATGGATCCTGTAAGTTGCTCTTATTCTTTCTTTTAATAATTTAATCAAGATTTTAAATTTGGGCCCGCAACCGTGAAGGTTTTCGACTCCGAAACCATATAGCAACCACAATTGTAGCCACATAAATGTCAAGGTTTTCGAAGTTTCTAATCCAAAATCGTTATGGTTGAATTCAATGGACACCTTGATTAAGTTTATTGAATTGCTGAAATTAACGTGATGATTGATTTTTCAGAATCAATGGAAGGAAATTTTTGCTCCTATTGTTTCAGCTGCAAAGACCATAAAGGTTATATCTAGTGTCATGGGTGGTAGCAATAATGGTTCATTGCAGCTGGTAAGTTGGAACTAAGAAAAATGAAATCATGTCTTTCAAATTGGATTCCGTGAAATTTTTTAATGCTAAATATTTAATTCAGATGTATCAAGAGTTACAAGTGTTGTCTCCACATGTTTCTACTCGAGAGTTCCACTTTCTTCGTTACTCACAAGAGATTGAAAAGGGAACATGGGCAATAGTTGACGTTTCATATGATAATCCACAAGACAAACAGTGCATGCCACAATTTCGCTCTCACCGTTTTCCTTCTGGTTGCCTAATCCAAAACATGCCTAATGGTCAATCCAAGGTAATCTCTATACCAGTGTTTTAGATTGCAGATGCAGTCGTGATTGCGGTAACGATTGTGGTTACTGCGATTATGGTCATTGTGGCCGTTGCAGTGTGAATTATTTTGTAATTAAAACAATATTTTTGAACCCGATGCGGTTTGATGCGATTCAAATGTGATTCGATGCAGTTGCATTACGGCCCGATGCGGTCACATCATTATGATTCGGAGTCACACTGCAATTGCGGCTGTATCAGGTGATGCGGTCCGCAATTTAAATCATTCCTCTGGACATATAGTGATTAGGTAAAGGTGTATAAACCCTAGATATGAAAACTGCATTGTTAGCATAATCTATGTGTTAAATGACTTGCACACTTAAGGAGAATCTCAATTTATTGGATACAAATCCATATTTATGATGTTGGCTACTTTGGGTATAATATAATTATGTAACAAGCATTTGCATGGAAGTGATTTTGTTGTGGTTGTAGTCCCTTTTCTTTGTTGTTGCTCTTTGATGGTATTACGTCTTCTAGAGTTGAGTGGTATTGTAATAAGATTAGTCTGTTATTATAGTTTTGGTACTTAGTGGGGTGGGGGTCTTATACAATGGACATTAGTTTTCATGTGCCTTGGGCTGGTGCAGGAATGACAATGGGTTTAGGGACCCACGATTACCCATTGGAAATGTCCGGAATGGGTCAGGTGTGGGTTTGTGTTTTTTTACCTGCACATAATCAAGATTAAACATTTTGAAACTCACTATTGAACAAGCCTAGGTCTAGACCATTGGTACCGACATCAACTATTCTTAAATCCACACATATATATATATATATATATATATATATATATAATTATAATATTATATTAATCATAATATATTATAATTATATTGTTATCCATAATAATATTATATCATGTTAATTTATAAGGGGAAAGATTCACTTACTCTAAGAGTAAGTGGAAAAATTTTATTCCACATCTTAGTCATCCAATCTTGAAAAATCTAATGGTTTAGATGTACTTACCAATTCAAACAATTGGATTTCCCAAAAAATGAATGATCATGATGTAGAGTAGGGTTTTTTCACTACTTAATTTATAAATGTCATGTTACGTTTTAAGTGATGTTAAGTTGTTAATTCATAATTGTTTTATAATGTTATGTTTATTATAATGTTCTTGCTAATGTTATGTTGTCAATACATAATTGTGATTGATACAAATGTACAAGTTGCTGACAATTATTCTTAATATTTTATGAATTTCTGGACACCTGCATATTCTTATGTATATCTAGTGCTTATCAGTGAATTTGTTTACTTAAAAAAGTAATAAGCATTTGTAGTAACTATTATAAGTTGTGATTCGTAGGTTACATGGATTGAACATGTAGAGGTTGAAGACAAAACTCCTATCCATAAATATTTTAGAAACTGTATATATAGTGGAATGGCCTTTGGGGCAGAAAGATGGCTTGCTATACTTCAGAGAATGTGTGAAAGGATGTCTTCTCTTACCGTGACAACCAATTCCACTCGTGGCCTTGGAGGAGGTATATATATATATATATATAAATCATGAGGTTTTTATTTGAACATCTAGTTTTAGTTTTGATTATCTTCTATATATATTTCACAACATATACTCCCATTGATGTAAATAATTGTTGTTAACAAATGATTTTGCATTCACATTTCACGAGCACAAGTTATCTATGTCACTTTTAACATAATTGTGAGTTTGTAATTGGTGTCACATAAAAAAATGTCATAGACAACTTGTGCTCAGATTTCACACAATCTCTCTATCATCATATTTAATTTTAGTCCATTAATCTGAACTACATGTGATTTGAACTTTAGTGATTACCTCTCCAGAAGGAAAGACAAGTATGCTGAAACTTTGTCAAAGGATGGTCACAAATTTCTGTGCTAGTGTTGGCACATCAAATGGCCAAAACTGGACCACAACGTTTGGGTCAAATGAGATTAGATTCAGAGTCACTTCCCATAAGAGCAAAGACCCAAAACAAACTAATGGTG